AATAATTTTTTAGAAGAATTTTATTATTTATGAAAATAATTGAATTCTTGTTAAGAATTTTATTCAATTCTCTTTAAATAATTGAATTCTCGTGAAAAATTTTATTATTTTTTGAAAATAATTGAATTCTCGTGAAAAATGTTATTGCTTGTGAAAATAATTGAATTCTTGCGGTAGAATTTTATAAATAGTTTTTAAATTGATTTTTTTCGAAAAATTTTATGAGATATTTTAAAGAATGCAATTCCTGAATAGGAAAAACCAAAAATGGGAAGAAACAAAAATGTTTTTCTTATTCTTGTTCTTCTGAGAAATAATTTTGACTCTTCCCATTTTTGTTTTTTCTATTCTTGAACCACAAAAAAAATGTTAAGAACAAGAATAGGAAAAACAAAAATGGAAAAAAATAAGAATAGGAAGAAGAAAAAAAAATAAGAGAAATGAAGGAAAGAAAAGAAGAGCAACAAGGCGAAGAAAAAAAAAAGATAAAGAAGACAGCAGTGAGAAGAAGTCTTGACCTTGAAATTGGAAAGAAACTTTAAAAATAATAAAATGTATGATTAATGTAATCCGCTCTAAAAGGTCCTCTCCTGTATTTAATTCGCCCATAGTGTAATCCTCTTATCTTGAAATAAATGTAAACGCAAGTGGTGAATTTATGCTCGGCATATGCAGTCTTAAAGTCTTGTAAAATCTGACCCACTGACCTGCCACTGAGTGCGAACATAATTTACACACGTGTATTTTTACACTTGTTAAAAACCCTCTCTCACCGCGTATTTTCTTTTTTGTTTCATGTTTAGGGTTTTTGGGATAAGGGGAGTAGTGGGAAGAGAGAGAGAGAATTGAAATCCAATCCTATTTAAATGAGACTAAATATATTTTCCCATGTGCTACTATATTTTCATTTCCTCTTCTACAAAAAAAATTCATATACGTACATTATTTTGTCCGCAATCGGGGAGAAAGTATTATTACCAATAAAAAAAGAAAAAAGAAAATTAATTTCTTTTTTGTCTTAAAAATTATTAAATATGATGTAAAAAATGTATCAAAAAAAAAATATGTAATCAAATTGTTTTTTTTCAACAATATATGTGTGAGAGAGTGAAAAAGTTCACGCACTTTATACACTGAAATTGCAGGAAATTTTTCTCCTTTTTTTTCTGGGACCACCCATTCTCTTTGGTCAAATGAGCGGAAGGCAAAATTACAAGAGGTCATGTACTTTATTTTTATATAATTTACTTCAATTGAAGAATTTTTTTTCCTCGCAGTTGAAATTATAATCGTTTTTCGTTTTTTCTCGTAACGAAAAAAAATAATAGGTTTTTCTTCGTAGACATTCAATTATTTTCATCAATAGTCAAATTTTCACAAAAATTCAATTATTTAAAAGTTAAAACACATTCAGGTAATTTTTGAGAAAAAAAATTAATTATTTAAAACTATTTTTATAAAATTTTTCGCAAGAATTCAATTATACAATTTAAAATAAAAAAAAATCAATTTCAATTAAAAAAAATTTAATAAAATTCATCGCAGGATTTTAATTATTTTTAAGACAATTTTAAATTAACTCCTTGAAAAATGCAATATTATTCTTATAAATTTTATTAGAATTCTCGAAAAGAATTCAATTATTTAAAAAAAATTTTGATGTAATTTCTTTTTTAGAATTTAATAATTATTTTCAATACATTTTTTATTAAATTTTTTGAAAGAATTTAAATATTTTCCATTTCGAAATTCATTTATTTTCAATATCTACTATTTTTAATAAGAAAATTTCCAAATTAATTCAATTATTTAAAAACAATTTTTGGATAAAATTCTTTCCAATAATTCAATTATTTTCATAAATTAGAAAATTTGATTTAAATTTAACACAGGAATTTAATTTTTGAAAAGTTAAAACACAATCTTTATATTTTTTTTTTAAAATATTAGTTATTTAAAAAGATTTTTATAAAATTCTTCACATTAATTCAATTTAAAAAAAATTTAATAAAGTTCTTTGCAAGAATTCAATTATATTTTTAATAAAATTCTTTGCAAAAATTGAATTATTTTCATAAATAATAAAATTAATAGCACGATTTTAATTATTTTCATTAAAATTTAAAATTTTTAATACAATTTTTAATAAATAAAAAAATAAATAAAAATAAAAAAAAATAAATAATAATAAATAATAATAAATAATAATTTATAATAATAAATTTTTATTTTTAATAAAAATGCAATTAGTCTTACAAATTTTTATGAAAATTCTTTAAAATAATTCGATTGTTTAAAAAAATTTAGATATAATGTTTATTGGAATTCAAATTCAATTATTCAATTATTCAAATTCAATTATTTTCAAAAATAATAAATTTTCCACTGTAATTTAATTATTTAAAACTAAATTTTCAAAAAAAATTTTTTTTTTAATTTTAGTGTTCTTCGCAAGAATTCAATTATATTTAAAAATTTTTTACTAAAATTCGTTGCAAGAATTCAAATATTTTTATATAAATAATAAAATTTTCGCAGGATTTCAATTATTTTTAATACAATTTTAAATAAATTTCTTGAAAAATTCAATTATTATTAAAAATTTAATTAAAATTCTTCAAAACAATGTAATTATTTGAAAAAAATTTGATATAATTTGTTTATTAGAATTTAATAATTATTTTCAATACATTTTAAATTAAATTCATTTAAAAAGATTTTTGCAAAATTATTCACATTAATTCAATTATTTAAAAAAAATTTAATAAATTTCCTCTTCAAGAATTCAATTATTGTTAAAAATTATATTAAAATTTATTGCAAGAATTCAATTATTTCCATAAATAATAAAATTAATAGCAGGATTTAAATTATTTTTAATACAATTTTTAATAAATCCCTCGAAAAATGCAATTGTTTAAAAAAAAATGTTTATGAAAATTCTTTGAAAGAATTGAATTATTTTACAAAAATTTGATATAATTTGTTTAATAGAATTCAATAATTATTTTCAATACATTTTTAATTAAATAAAATTTTTAAATTCATTTAAAAAGATTTTTGCAAAATTATTCACATTAATTCAATTATTTAAAAAAAAATTTAACAAAATTTGCTGGCAAGAATTCAATTATTATGAAAAATTATATTTAAATTCTTAGCACGAATTCAATTATATTTATAAATAATAAAATTAATGGCAGGGTTTCAATTTCTTTTTAATACAATTTTTATTTTTTAATAAATCCCTCGAATAATGCAATTGTTTTAAAAAGTTTTTATTAAAATTCTTTAAAAGTATTCAATTATTTAAATAAATTTTGACATAATTTGTTTATTAGAATTTTTAATACATTTTTATTAAAGTTCTTGAAAGAATTAAATTATTTTCAAAATTTTTAATGAAATTCTTCGTAACAATTCAATTATTGAAAAAAAAAATGTTTGAAAAAGTTCTGTATAAAAATTTAATTATTAAATAATTTTTTAATTTTTGTAGTAGTAATAAGTAAAATAAATTTACCAAAAATGTGTTTACATTTTTTTATTTTTCATTTCAATCGAGAAAAAATTCAACTTCAGTAAATTAAAGTTTTTAGCGCAGAAAGTGTCGACAACTTTTGTCTGCACCATGGTGGAAATAAAATTTAAAAAAAAAGAGGAGAAAGAAATCGAAATCAGTGTTACAAAAAAAAAGGTAATATTGACAATTTTTTTCTGCATTTTATTATTTCGATAGATACTATTTTAACGAGGCTAACCAAATGAAAACAATAGTATCGCGCGTACTTCCGTTAACTTCCGCTTTGTTCAATTTTTTCATCGTCTCGGTTTTTCGATTTTTTTTTTTTTTTGTTATTATTAAAAATTTTCTCTAGAATTGCAATTCAACAATATTTTTTTTTAATACTGTAGACGAATTATAAATATATATGCGATACAAATATAAACAAATAAATTTGTATATTTCTGACAGTGTTATTTCTGACAGTGAACGTGAATTGAGATACGCGCGAAAGATAATACTGACAAATCCTACGACTTCTCAGTGGCAGCCGACTTCTGGGTGATAAATTATTATTGTCCACACAGCCAACGTGAGTTGTGCCGATAAATAAATCACCAAAGATTTAACAAGTTGAGATTAACGGACCGTTCGATATTATTAGAAACTGCGAAACCGTGACGTTTAAAAAAACTACAACTATTATTTTTATTCAGGTATAAAAGACGTGAGAATGAGTTTTACTGGTAGTTTCCACTATTTTTTTTGGGGGGGGGGGGATTTTATTTCCAAACGATAAATAGTTTTTCAGAAATTATTTATTTTTTGACATTCGTTTTTATTAAATTTCCTGAGAGAAAAAGTGATTTCGTAAATTATTTCTCATTTAAAAAATAATATTTGACAACTGGTTATATTTTTGTCAGTAATTTGGTCCGTAAATTTTCATTTTTGGTTTTTTACTTTCACTGGTTCGAGCCCTGTTAATTTTATAAAGTAATTTGAATTTTATTTTTAAAATTCGCGCCAATTTCTTCGAATTTAGCAACAGCAGCGCCTCTAGAATAATGGCGCCAAATTTGAAAATAGAAATGAAATTTCAATAATTTTCGCAGTAATTAAATAAAAATTAAGTAACGAGACTAATAATTATGGCGATAATTCAATACACTACGGATTTAAATCCTTGAGTAATATTTCTTTTCTTAATTAAAAAATTTAAAAAAAAAAGTTGCTTATAGAAGTGCTCAAAAATTTCAGACAATTTAGAGTTTACTTTGAAAGTATAGTAAACGTTACTATACATTTTTTTCCCTACTGAAGAGTAAAATTTTCGTTTAAACGTGAAAAATTCTCTAGTTTCACTTTTATGCAAATAACATCCACGTAGATATCTGTTATACGTTTTGTCAGAAAATAAAGAGTGTTTTTGTACATGTGCGTCATTCCTTTGTGTGTATGTATTTTTTTTTTTATTTTTTTTTTTTGAACTCACCAGTTTTATTCTCAAAGGGAGATGCAACAGAGCGATGAATGATACAGAGTATTGTTGCTAAAAGCAGCCATCTCGTCGGATCAAACAATCTCTTAAGCATAATCTGCAACAAAGAATTGAAACTGTTTCACATAAAAACAATATAATCTCCAATTTTTATTTACCATCCCTGTTTCTCTGTTTTTGAAAAGTTTTAAAAAAAAGAAATTAATTAACGTTACGGATTCGGAAATGTAAAAGGAAAAATTATTTTCCTTTAATAGGTACGTTACTATTTTGAAAATTTATTTTTCTCCATTGAAAAAGTTTAAAATAAAGATTTTTATTTCCAATTAAACATTTTCGAAGCAAAAAAAAAAATAAAAATTTTGAAAGTAAAGAAACGAAAATAAAAAATTTTATAATTAAAAAAAGGAAAATAAAATAAATATTTATTTTCAATTAAACATTTTCAAAGCAAAAAAAAAAAATAGAAAATAAAAATTTTAAAAGTGCAAAAAACGAAAATAATAAAAAAAATTTTTAAAGTAAAAAAAGGAAAATATAAATTTTAGAAGCAAAAAACAAAAATAGTAAAGATCAAGTATTTTTCGAGACATTATATTAAAAAGATATTTTTTTCTAAATCTCTTTCTTCGTCTCCTGATTGCTTCTTCTTCTTCTTCTTTTTGTGTCTCTATATACACGAGATGAGAGAGGTAATCAACGCAACTTAATTCGAGGGAACTATAAACGAATCCAGAAGGTCTATAATCGTTCTCAATTTACCTATAACCTAATTAATTTTCTTAATAGCAGGGGTCGAGACACCGAAATTTCGATCGATAATTGTAATTTCAGAGATGATGTAATTACCGAAAAAGCGATCAATGCCCAGACTGGTATTAGGCACATAAAGTTTATGTATTCCCATTAAAAAAAACAAAAAAACAATTTACGCGAAGTTATTTCAGCTCGAATAGTACAACAGTACAAATTAAATAGAAACTAAGAAAAAACAGTTTAAAGAAATTTGTTTAATTATTAAATTAAATTAATTAATACTTTTTTAGTCTCTTAATTATGCACATGCTTTTTAAAATGATTATTTCGGCCCTTGGCCACGGATAATTTATTTAAAAAAAATTTTCCAGAAAAATAATTGTTAAAACTAAATTATTTTAATAAAAACTGATAGTAATTTTACACAATTAATAAAAAATTAAATTCTGTAAAATTAATATCAATTTTTATTTAATTAATTATTTTTTCACGATTTATTTGTCAATTTTAGTAATTTGAATTTCATTCTTAAAATTCGCGCCAGTTTTTCAATTTTAGCAACAGCAGCGCCTCTAGAATAATGGCGCCAAATTTGAAAACATAAATTAAATTACGATAATTACTGCAGTATTAGTATTATTAATAATAATTTGTTTGTAAAAAAAAATTTATCCAGCTAAATAATTGTTAAAACCTAAATTAATTTTTTAATAAAAAACGTTATTTGTTAAAGTTTTCTAGGAAAACATTTTTAAAAAACAAATTAGAAAGATATAATTTGTTATAATTTTTCCTTCTTCCCCATCAAAAAACTAATACAATATTATTATTAATAATAATTTATCTCTAGAAAAAAAATTTATTTAGCAAAATTACTAAATCAAATTAGTAAATATTAGTAATTATAATATTATAATAATTACCTATCTGCAATTAAATATAATTACGTAATATTAAATATAAAGCAGTATAAGATCAACCGATTGTATAAAACCATTATTCTAGAGGCGCTGCTGTCGGTAAAATAAAAAAAAATGTTGTCGAGAATTTAAAAAAAAATTAATTTATTAATTAACAATTAATTAGATATTAAATTAATTATTATAACAATAAATCGCTTGACTCATTGGTCTCGTTACTATATTTTTATTAATTTCATCAAAAATGATAACAAATTTAATTTGTTTTTCAAATATTCGCGCCATTATTTTAAAGGGCGCTGCTGTCGCTAAAATCCAAAAATCTAGCGCGAATTTTAAAAAATAAAATTAAGTTCACATTATAAAATCAATTTATTAATTAACAATAAATTATGAAATTGATTGTAACAATATATCGCTATAATTATTAGTCTCGTTACGATATTTTTATTAATTTCTGCAAAAGTGATCGCAATTTAAATTCTCTTTAAATTTAGAGCCATTTTTTTTGTAAAAGGCGCTGCTGTCGCTAAATTCAAAAAATCTGGCGGGTATTTTAAAAAATAAAATTAAAATTACATTTAAAAATGAACAAATCAAGAAAAAGGAAACATTGTCGTTAATTAATAAATAAAAACTAAATAATAAGAATTAAAATATAATTATTATATAATTTAGAATTAAATACAGTTACATATAATATATAAAAAAAATAGTTTTAAAGCAACTGGTAATAATTATTAGTCTCTTTACTATATTTTTATTAATCACTACAAAAATGATCGAAATTCAATTTCTGTTTTCAAATTTCGCGCCATTATTCTAGAGGCGCTGCTGTTGCTAAAATTGAAAAACTGGCGCGAATTTTAAAAATGGAATTCAAATTATGTTATAAAATTGACAAATAAATCATGAAATAATAATTATTAAATAAAAACTGACATTAATTTTACAGAATTAAATTTTTTAAAAATAAAATTAAATCAATTAGGTAAAATTAACATCAGTAAAGTATAGAAAATAAGAGAAATATAACCTAAAAATAATTTCCTTCTAAGGAATACGTTTCTTCGGTGTATGTGTGTCACAGAAAAATATATTCTCTACTTTTTTTAATAATAAAAAAAAGTATGATTTGAAATTAGTCAAAGTTTTTCCCCATATTTTTTTAAAATATATATTTTTGAAAAAACGATAAAATTATGAGAATGAAAAATGATAAATATCCTTTTTTTCCATTCCAGAGTGGAAAAATATTCTTTTTCTCAAATTTTTGAATGTATTAATTAATATATTAGTCCGTAGAACAATTGAAATGATCAACGAGAGTTAGATGCTCCTTTTATACAACACACGAGAGTTTAATCATTTCATACAAGTTTCATCAACCATTTCGTCTGAAAGGCCAAAGCCCTCAAGTTTCTGCAGTAATTCTGCCTTAAACACGTGCAATCCTTCTGGGAATAATTGTAAGCTTTCTTCAAAGCAACGTGCGCCCTCATAAAACTTTTAGAAAGTTAGAAATACAAATCACCAGATTACTGTAAAATAATATATATATACCCAGTGAATTCTCCCTCCAAGAGAAAAAAAAACTATTTTTCTATATTGTAAATTAAAAAACCAAAATTATTTAAAACTTAAAAAAAAACAAAAAAAAAAACTTAGAAAAGAATATTTAATTAATATTTAATTTTTCATAACTCTCCCCCTCATCATTATCATAGAGTAAATTAAATGATGAATAACTTAGTTTTGCGAGGCAATAAAAATGAAATTTATGCAAAAAGTAAATTTTTCAAATTGGCCATGAGTCACGCGAAAGTGATAGTATGTGAAGAAAAATAGTTTTCATGAAAGTTTGTATTTAAATATATATGAAGAGCTCTCGTGACAAAGTGGGAATCAGAGCTTCCAGTTGGTTATATTCAGAGTCGCATGAATTCGAGATAATCAGCAATAAAAGATGTCGTTTAGTCTGCAGGTGGTCTGTGAAATCGAGTTTACCTTGTCACGTGACAAATTATGGGACGAGTTCTTACTTTTTAGGCAGAGGTATTCGTTAATCTTAAATGTATACCTATATATACACACTTTTGATAGCGAAAGGTATTTTTCACTTTGCTTAAATTAAGAGCAATTTTTCTTTTTTATTTTTCGTTCTCAATTTTCTTTACTTTTCGATGTTGAAAAAAAAGAAATATTTTACTCACTTGTGTGTGAAAATTGAATTTTATCATCTAGGGTGATAAAAAGCTGTTTTCTATTTTGGAGTTGAAAATAGGTTATTTTGCACCCTAGAGTTAAAATAGGGTATTTTGTACCCTAGAGTTAATATTTGCACCTTAGAATTAAAAAGAGTGAAAAAAAGGTCATTTTCCACTCTAGAGTTAAAAAAATGGTGTTTTGTCCCCTAGAGTTAAAAGGAAGAATATTTTCCACTCTAGAGTTAAAATAGGGTATTTTGCACCCTGGAGTTAAAAAAAGAGTACTTTGCAGCGTAGAATTAAAATATTTAATTCCAAAATTTAAAAAATGGTATTTTGCACACTAGAGTTAAATAAAAGAGTATTTTCCACTTTCTAGAGTTAAAAAAGGGTACTTTGTCCCCTAGAGGTAAAAAGAGACAAATGATTACAGAAATTCAATTATTTTCAAAAGTTACAAAAATTCTTCGCAAAATTTCAATTATATTGAAAAATTAAAAAACAAATTCTCAATTATCTTTAAATAAATAAAAATAAAATAAATAAATAAATAAAATAAATAAATAAATAATAAATAATAATAATAAATAATAATAATAATTAATAAATAAATTATCTTTAAATTATCTCAATTATCTTTTTCAATTATCTTCCTAAATAATAAAATTCTACATCGAAATTCAATTATTTTTAAAAAGTTTAATAAAATTGTCAAAATTCCACAGGAATTCAATTATTCAATAATTAATAAATTTCTTTGAAATAATTCAATTATTTTAATAAGTAATAAAAATTTCACAGTGATTCAATTATTTAAAATACAAAATTGCATAAAATTTTTCGAAAACTATCAATTATATAAAAAGATTTTTATAAAATTTTTTCATTAATTCAATTATTTTTTATAAATAATAAAATTCTCCACCGAAATTCAATTACTTTTATAAACTTGAATAAAATTCATTGTAAGAATTAAATTATTTATTATAAACTTGAATAAAATTCGTTGGAAGAATTAAATTATTTTCAAAATAATAAAATTCGTTGGAAGAATTAAATTATTTTCAAAATAATAAAATTCTTCGCAGAAATTCAATTATGTTCAAAAATTATAAAAAGAAATATTGTCAAAATTTCAATTATCATTAAAAATAATAAAATTCTTCATCGAAATTCAATTATATTAAAGAATTTTAATAAAATTCTTGTCAAAATTTCGTTGGAATTCAATTATTCAATTTTTAATAAATTAATTCAAAATAATTCCATTATTTTCATAGGTAATAAAAATTTTCACAGAAATTCAAAATTAGTTAAAATACCAAATTTCATAACATTTTTCGAAAATTATCAATTATTTAAAAATATTTTTCTAAAATTCGTCGCAAGAATTTAATTATTTAAAAAAATTTAACATAGTTCTTTTTAAGAATTCAATTATTTTTATAAAATATAATAAAATTCTTCACTGAAATTCAATTATGTTTATAAACTTAAATAAAATTCGTTTTAAGAATTCAATTATTTATATAAATAATAAAATTTTTCTCCGACATTCAATTATTTTATGAAAATTTTAATTATTCATTTATTTAAATATTATTTTTATGAATTATTTTTTATACAATATTTTAATCAAATTCCTCGATAAATGTAATTATTCTTAAAAATTTTATTTTTTTTATTATTTAATTTATTATTTAATTTTTTATTTTATATTTTTTGTATTAAGGGCTTTGCCCGTATAAGTATCTAAAATAAATAAATAAATAAATAAATAAATTAAAATTTTGTCAAACGAATTCAATTATTTAAAATTTTATTGATAAAATTCTTTATGAGAATTCAATTTTAACAAACATTGAATTATTCAATAAATTATTATTTTTTAAATTCAAATAATTGAATTCTTCTAGAATTTTCTAATAAAAATTGATTTAAAAATGAATGAACGAATAATCGATTTATTATTATTTATAAAAATAATTGAATTATTGCAACGAATTTTATTACATTTTTTTTAAATAATTGAACTTTTTTGTGAAATTGTATACTGCTTGTAAAAATAATTGAATTCCTGCGAAGGATTTTTGTAAATAATTAACTTATTTTAAAAGATTTTATGGCAATTTTAAATTTAAAATGATTATTTTTTAAATTCTCGAACTCTAAAATAAGCAAAAAAATTTATTAGAAAGATTGATAATTTAACAAAATTGCATAAAAATCTTCTGCTATCTTAACATATTTGAAATTTTTAGTTTAATTTAAAAATTAAAATTTAATCCCTAGGGTGTAAATGATTGCTTTTTGAACTATCGAACTTAAAATATCCAAAACTCTTCTACTATCTTAAAATTAAAATTTTTTTTTTTATTTTAAGATTTAATCCCTAGGGTCAAAATGTTTATTTTTTAGACTATCGAATTTAAGAAAAGGAAAAAAATTGACTTTAAAGATTTGATAATTTAATAATTTCACAAAAAATCTTTTGCTATCTTAACATATTTGAAATTTTTATTTTAATCTAAGATTTAATCCCTAGGGTCTAAATGATTATTTTTCTAAGCTTTTGAACTTAAAATAAGCAAGAAATTGCCTTGAAAGATTGATAATTTAATAATTGTATAAAAAATCTTCACTGCTATCTGAACATTAAAATTTTTTTTCAATTATAATTTAAAATTCAATCCCTAGGATCTAAATGATTATTTTTTAGACTTCTGCTATCTTAACATTTTGAAATTTCTAATTCAATTTAAGATTTAATCTCAAGGGTCTAAATGATTATTTTTTTAAGCTTTCGAACTTGAAATAGCCGAAAACCTTCTACTATCTCAACATTCGAAAGGTTTAGTTTAATATTTTATTAAATTTCTCTTTCTCCTTGCCATAAAATATTAAGAATTTTACATTAGAATTTGATAATTTATTTAAACTTCTAGAGTTGAAAGGAATTATTTTACTCCCTAGGGATAATTATAGCCTCCATTTTCCTTGCCTTGGTTTTAGTTTACTTTAAAGTTTAATTTATTATTTTATTAAATTAATATCAATTAATGTAATATTAATAATTTATTGAAATTTAAAACTTAAATATTAAAAATTAAAAATAAATAAATTATATAAAATAATTTAAATTTTAAAAAATTAAATTAAAACATCAAAATGAAATTAATAAAATATGATTATGAGTGAAAAATTTCTGTATAAATCAAAATAAATGACGTTGAATTTAGAAATAAGAAGAATTATTGCGGAATTTGTTAGAAGAGAAAAAGAAATCGAAAATCGAATTTTATAATTTATATATAACACATAAAGGATTATGCGAATGCAAATGCCGTTGCTGTGTAATATACGCGTTCACATCACTCGCGAATGGTAATGATTGCGAGAATGAAGATGATACTTTCACCGCGATGATCCCATAAGCGATCGAGAGGGGTCATCGCGATTATCATCATCATTATCATCATCATCATCATCACAGTCGCACGGTCTCTGACTTACTTTTTCTGTCGTTATTAATCGTTCCCCATCGTGTCTCTCTTTCTCTCTCTGTAAAATTAAAAAAAAAAAAATTTTTTTTTTTTTACTCTAAAATTACGAATTAGGCGAATAATTAGATTAATTACACTTTATATAAATAAAAAACGTCTATAGGCCAAAGTGGAGAAAGTATAGCGTCTATTATTATACAAAAAATAAATTTCACTTATTCTTGCAAAATCATCTAATACGTAAATACATCGTCTGCTATCTTAACATTTGAATTAAAAATTAAAGTTTTTAATTTAAGATTTTATCCCCAAGGTATAAAGGATTATTTTTTAAACTATCGAACTCAAAATAACCAAAAATCGTCTGCCATCTTAACATTTAAAATTTGTAATTAAAAATTTAATCCCTAGCGTTTTTTTTTTTTTTTGACAGAATACTAATTAAATATTTGTCTCCCATTATCGATGAAATTTCAAAAAAAAAAGAAAGAACTTAACTTTATAAATTTTTAAAATCCAATTAAAGCGATCAGACCTTAAAAAATGTCGCACTCTAATTTCAGACATCATTATTATTAATTATTCCTCGATGGTTTTATTTTTAAATCGTTCAATATCAAATTTAAAAAAAAAATAAAATTTTTTTTCTTTTCATTCTGAAAATTTATTTAGGGCCATAATTTGATTCATATACATATATAAATTTAGGGCCAATGGTTAAAATAAAAAATTGCGGAGCCCAAAATCCGGGACATAAATTTTAAATATTTTTACAAAATACAAAAAAAATTTCACGCTGTCTAAATATAGAATATTTTATCCGTGGGAAATATAAGAGAAGATGTTTTGTTGACAAATTTATCAAAAAAGAAAAAAAAAAATTTTTTTTCTGAAATGAGAAATCGAGGATTAAAGCAATTATTTTTAATCCAATGTTAAAATGATTAGCATGCATCATTTTGTAGATAAGATTTTAAAAGGTAGATGGGTGGCTAATGATGATATTTGCATATTGCAGAGATTGGAATGCAAACAGCAAGTGTAAATGTCTTGTCTGGTGACCTCCAACGACCACATTAATTTACCTATACACACCATCATTTATATATATTAATTTCGTTCATAATTTCATCGTTTTTTTGACAAATATTTTAAAAACATTTAAACAAATGGGGAAAAACTTTGTTTTATTTCAAATCATAAAGTTTTTTTCATTATTATTAATTTTAAAATTAGGAATTATAATTTTTTTTTGCGACACACACCGAAGAAATTTATTTCTTAGAAGGAAATTATTTTTAGGTTATGTTTTTGATATTTTTTTTATACTTTACTGATGTTAATTTTATTCATTTTATTTAATTAATTTAATTTTATTAAACAAAAATTTAATTCTGTAAAGTTAATATCAGTTTTTATTAAATTAATTATTTTCTCATGATTTATTTCTCAAATTTTATAACGTAATTTGAGTTTCATTTTTAAAATTCGCGCCAGTTTTTCAATTTTAGCAACGGCAGCGCCTCTAGAATAATGGCGCCAAATTTGAAAACAGAATTTAAATTACTATCATTTTTGCAGTAATTAATAAAAATATAGTAACGAGACTAATAATTATAGCGACATATTGTTATAATTAATTTTAATAATTGATTGTTAATTAATAAATTAATTTTATAATGTAAAATTAATTTTGTTTTTTAAAATTCGCGCGAGATTTTTTGATTTTAGCGACAGCAGCGCCCTTTAAAATAATGGCGGGAATATTTGAAAAACAAATTAAATTGTAATCATTTTTGCTGAAATTAATAAAAGTATATTAACGAGACCAATAATAAAATAATAAAATAGCGATATGTTGTTATAAAAATTAATTTAATAATGAATTGTTAATTAATAAATCAATTTTATAATGAAATTTTCATTTTATTGTTCAAAATTCGCGCGAGATTTTTTGATTTTAGCAACAGCAGCGCCCTTTAAAATAATGGCGCGAATATTTAAAAAAAAAATTAAATTGTAATCATTTTTGCTGAAATTAATAAAAATATATTAACGAGACCAATAATAAAATAATAAAATAGCGATATATTGTTATAAAAATTAATTTAATAATGAATTGTTAATTAATAAATCAATTTTATAATGAAATTTTAATTTTATTATTTAAAATTCGCGCGAGATTTTTTGATTTTAGCGACAGCAGCGCCCTTTAAAATAATGGCGCGAATATTTGAAAGACAAATTAAATTGCAATCATTTTTGCAGAAATTATTAAAAATATAGCAATGAGACCAATAATTGTAGCGATATCTTGTTATAATAATTAATTGTTAACTAATTGTTAATTAATAAATTAATTTTATAACGTAATTTTAATTTTTTTTTACATTTGATCAGTTTTTTCTAGAAACAGCGCCTCTAGAATAACTTTTGAGTCTGTATTTGAAAAAATACGAAAAAGAATGTATTGGCAATAAATTTTTTTTGTAAAAAAATATGTAGACCAATTTTACATATATTTTAAATATATATTTATTGAATATTCACATAATTAATTAATTATCATACAAAAATTATTAATTAAGAACCAAAGAATTTAATTCCATGAATCGAAATTTAAATCACGTTCCCAGGACATTGAAAAAGGAAACGTGAAAGGCAGATAAATCGTCTGGTCAGTGTGTGCTTTCGTATATTTCAATACTTTGACCATAAACCTTTATTTATTTTTTTCTTTCCTCTTTTTTTTATATTTCTAATTTATGATCAGAAAGAAAAGATACTGCTCCAATTAACGGGACTTGTGCAAAAATATAAGGAGCACTTTTTGAAATTGGCAAAATTCAAAGACCATTATATATCCTCTATGGCCGCATATTTTAAATACATTATGTCTACAGTAAATGTCTAATTAGGACCTCTAAAAGTATAAAGTTACTTCGTATGCGAATTTTTCCACATTGTATTTAAAAATTCCTTCTTTGATATTATAGACTTTGTGTCTTTATTATTATACACATTAAAAAAATGTTTTTTTAAAGATTTGAAAATAAATTTTTTAAGTAATTAAATCGAAAACATTTTTTTTTTTTTATAATAGAGGAAAAATAATTGAAAAAAAATTAATAAAAATATAAAAAATGTTAAGAAAAGTTGAAAAAAAAGATAATTAAAAATAATTAATACAAATAAAAAATAAATGTATAAAATTATTAAAGGAAAATTAATAAAAATAGAAAATAAATTAAAAAAATTAAACGAAAGTAAAAATATTTTATCTCTTTTTTTCTAGGCGAGGGAAATTTGGACCAAAATCTGTTGTTAATTTATAGAGAATGCAGTGTCAATTTATTCTCGAGGCGGCTCGTTACAAAAAGAATTGGCGAGACAAATGTCTCATCGTCGCTTTTTAAAACTGGGAACTCTCTGAAGAAAGCTGATCAACGCCCGAAGCGTCATCTACCGTTAGTAAGTGTCTTTTTATGTACCAATCACACTGTCCGATAATCGACCAAATCCCCCTTTTTTTGCATTATATTTTTCTAGAATTTTTCCATTTTTATTACCAATTTTTTCATTTTTATCTTTAATTTATAAAAAAATATTTTTAAGTTATTTTTAACTATTTTTTTTTAAATTCGCGCCTGATTTTTCGTTTTTAGAGACAGTAGCGCCTCTAGAGTGACGCTATAGTACTACTACTACTATCACTAATGGTTTTCTTTTTTCTGAAATTAAAATTTACATTAGAATTAGCAAACAAGCGTGGAAACTTCGGATAGTTTCAGTTTCACTATAAAAGTGCTTAAAAAAACTATCGAAATGATATAAATTTTTTTATATAAAAAGGAAAACTAATATTTAGTCAAGCAATGTTAAAATATCGCTATAATTGTTAATCTCATGAATATTTTTTTATTTATTTCTGCAAAAATCATCGCATTTTTAATTTTTGTATTCAAATATTCGCGCCATTAGTCTAGAGGCGCTGCTGTTGCTAAAAACAGAAGATTTGGCGCAAATTTTAAAAAATAAATTCAAATTAAGTTACAAAATTTAACAAGTAAAGAAGGAAAAGATAAATACTTAAATTTTTTATTCTAAAATTCCTGAAGAAAAATAGTAGTACAAAAATAAATAACTTTTACTGATAAAGAAATAAAATAAAATAATGGAATTAAAGAAATTTGCCTTAAAAGTATAGTAAAATTTAGTCTGAAATTAGTAAAAATGGAAAAAAAATTCATTTTTTAGTGGAACAATGTTTCGGCAATTAGCAATTTTTATTTTCTTTCAAATATTCGCGCCATTAATCGAGAGGCGCTGCTGTTGCTAAAAACAGAAAATTTAGCGCGAATTTTAAAAAATAAAATTCAAATTACTTCATAAAATTAACAAATAAATTACCAAATTTTTATATTGTATAATTCCTAAAGTACAAAAATAATAACATAAAAAATCAGTGAAATTTACTAAATAAAATGAGAGAAATAAAAAATTTACTTTAAAAATAGTAAAATTTAGTCTGAAATCAGTAGAAAATGACAGAAATTGATGCATTAGTGGAACAATATTTCGGCAAAAATTTTAGCAATTTTAATTTCAAATTAAATTTAATTAAATTTAAATAAAAATTTTAATTAAATTTAAATATTCGCGCTATTATTCTAGAGGCGCTGCTGTTGCTAAAAACAGAAAATTTAGCGCGAATTTAGAAAAATAAAATTCAAATTACTTTATAAAATTAAGAAATAAATTACAAAATTTTCATATTTTACAATTTCTAAAGTACAAAAATAGTAACATAAAAAATTAGTAAAATTTACTAATAAAATAAGAGAAATAAAAATTAAATTTAAAAATAGTTAAATTTATTCTGAAGTCAGTAAAAATCGAGAAAATATTAATGCTTTAGTGGAAAAATATTTCGGCAATAATTTTAGAAATTTTAATTTCAGTTTCTAAATATTCGCGCTATTATTCTAGAGGCGCTGCTGTTGCTAAAAACAGAAAATTTAGCGCGAATTTTAAAAAATAAAATTCAAATTACCTTATAAATTTAACAAAATAAATAAAGAAAAAATAATATACAAAATTTTTATATTGTAAAATTTCTAAAGAACAGAAATAAAATAAAAGTTCGTTTTAACATTTTTTTTATCAGATTTTTTGAGTCAATTATCAAATTTGAGGTTTTTTTTTTAAATTTTAAAGGACTTTTAATTCGAAAAAATGCTTTTTTCCAAAACATGACTGCACACAGAAAGTTTTCAAAATTCATCTCGGATTCAGAAAAAATGTGTTTCTTTGAAAAACGCGGCTGATCTTGATATTTCTATTTATGATTTTTTGAGTCGATTATCAATTTAGAGCTTTTAAATTTTGTTTTTTAAATTAGCTTTTTTAATTAGAAAAAGAGCTTTTTTCTGAATATGACAATATTTAATAGCTTTTCAGAATTTATATACTTGTTTCAGAAAAAATTTGTTTCTTTAAAAACGATGCTGATCTTGATAATATTTTTATGCAATTTTTGGAGGCGATTATCAATTTTTTAGCTTTTTTGAAAAAAGAAGGAATTTTTTTTTTGAAAAGGCCTTTTTTCCGAAACGTAACGGTACTCAGAAACTTTTTAAAAATCTACTCTGGTTCAGTAAAAATTTGTTTTTTGAAAAAAGACTGGTCCTGACATTTTTGTTCACTTTTTTTTAAATCAATTCAAAAGTTGGTGCTTTTTCAATTAAAAATGTTTTTTTTTTAGAAAAGAGCTTTTTTCCGAAAAGAGGCAGTACTCGGAAATTATTTTATTTTCATCTCTGATTCATGAAAAATTTGTTTTTTTAAAAAAATTTTTTTTTTTTTTGACGTTGGTCTTAACATTTTTTTCTATGATTTTTGGAGTCGGTTATCAATTTAAAGCTTTTTTCAAAAAAGAAGGGCTTTTTTTCATTGGAAAAGAGCTTTTTTCCGAAACGAGGCGATACTCGGAAAATTTTTTGCTTTTATTTCTGATTCAGAAAAAAATTTGTTTTTTTAAAAAAAAGACGCTTGTCTTAATTTTTTTTTCTTGCAATTTTTGTAGTCGATTATTAATTTAGAGCTTTTTTCAAAAAAGAACAGCTTTTTTTGAATTTTTAATTTTAAAATGAATTTTAAAAATAATATATGAAATAAATCAAGAAAAATTAAAAAATGACAAATTTGTCTTATGTTTTGCAATTTATATTATTGAAAAAACTGTAAAAAAAAAAAGAAAACACTAATAAATAGTCACTGTGATGAATTCGATATCTTGATAAAAGGGGAAGTTGGTAATTATCTTGAACATCGTTAGAAAGTTATTGGCAAGTCGTTCATTCCGGTTGGCCCCTCGAGATCGATTTTATCGGCACTTTAAGAGTTTCGGTGCAATATTTATGCATGTAAGTTCCTGGTAGGATGAACATTGGACATTAAAGACATTAATTCCCCGGCAGTATGCGCGCAGTTAATCGATCAAGCGCGCGGAATACCTTATAAATTTTATATTATTACACACAATATTAGTACAGTATTTATAATAGTCATGCATATTTAAACGCTGTTAATAGTAATAGCGTAATATAAAAAAATATTACTTCATTATATAGTCTCACGTTGTATATATTATGATTTTGAATAATCTGCTTCTAATTTGATGCAAAATCACAATATTTAATTAAAAGAAGAAAAGTGATGAATAATTTTAGTTATTAGAATAGAATGAAGAAAATTAATTCGCACAGTTTTCCTGAGGACATCAAATTGAGAAAAAAAACGAATCAAAAGTGTTGCCTCGCAATTTAATATAAAAAAAAAAATAAAAAATATTTTTTTTTATTTGATATCATTTGATATTAATTTGATATCCTCAGGAAAACTGTGTTTCAACATTCTGTATAGAAATTTTTTCTTGTTGTTTATTGCGATGCATTTTTTGTTTTTTTATTATTGAATTTTATTATTAAAAATCATTAAACTTAATTAATATTTTTAAAATTGTGGTAAAAATTACATTACTTTTAAAAATAATTGAATTCTTTGAGTGAAAATTGTTATTTATGAAAATAATTAAATTTTGCAGAGAATTTCATCAAAATTTTTGAAAATAATTGAATGTTTTGAAAGAATTTTATTTTAAATTTCAAAAATAATTGAATTCAATCTAAAAAATTTATTAAAACGTTTAAAAATAATTGAATTTAATTAATATTTTTAAAAATAATTTTACTTTTTCCAGAAATTTTTTTTTTAAATTGTAGTAAAAATTACATTATTTTTTTAAAATAATTGAATTCTTGGAGTCAATATAGGTATTGTTATTTATGAAAATAATTGAATTTTGCAAAGAATTTTATTAAAATACCTTAAAATAATTTAATTTTCGGGAATAATTTTGTTATTCATCTTTAATAATTGAATTCTTTCGAAGAATTATTTATTTAAATAATTGAAGTCAAACAAAGATTTTGAGAAATTTTTTTTATATAATTGAATTCTGTGTGGAATGTTATTAAATTTTTTTTGAAAATAATTGAATTCCAAAAAACATTTTATTAGTTATGAAAATAATTGAATTATTGCAAACGATTTTATTAGAATTTTTTAAAATAATTGAATTCTTATGATGAATATTGTTAATTATGAAAATAATTGAATGTTTGTAAAGAATTTTACATACAATTTTTTTTAAATAATTGAATTTTTTATAAAAATTTTTTTATTAAAATAGAAAATATTGAAAAGAATTGAATTTCGAAAAATTTTTTTTTAAATAATTTAATATTGTTTCGAAGAATTTTAATAATATTTTAAAGAATAATTGCATCTTTCGAGAAATTTATTTAAAATTGTATTAAAAATAGTTGAAATCCTGTTATGAGTTTAATTAATTATGAAAATAATTGATTATGTGAAACAAATCTTTAAAATTTTTTTTATAATAATTGAATTCTTTCGAAGAACTTCATTAAAGTTTTTTTTTAAATAATTAAATTCTTATGAAGAATTACATAAAAATCTTTTTAAAATAATTGATTTTTTATCAAAAAATTTTATGAAAATTCTGTTTTAAAGAATTTAATTGCTGTGGAAATTTTATTATTTATTTAAAAAATTGAATGTTTGCAAAGAATTTTATAAAAAGTTGTTTAAGTAATAAAATTAAGTAATAAAATCCTGTTTGGAAATTTTTTGAAAATAATAGATATTGAAAATCATTTAATATACGAAAACTTTTTAAAAATAATTAAATTCTACAAAGAATTCTATTAAAATTTTTGAGATTAATTGAATGTCTGTGTGGAATTTTAAATTTTTTTTTGAAAATAATTGAATTCCTAAAAGGCATTTTTTTTAATTATGAAAATAATTGAATTCTTGCGAACAATTTTATAAGAATTTTTTTAAATAATTGAATTTCCAAGGAGAAATTGATTACTTTTAAAAAT